AGACTAAATGAGCTAGATCAGATTGATGAAATGACATGAATATAAATAAAACAGGGCTTTGCTCTGACAGGAATAATATCAGAAAAAAGAGATGCAACTTTGTTAAGTAACTTAAAGTGAATTTGGAAAAATAACTTAGCATATCTAATTATACTTAAAGCAAAAGAAGTAGGAGTAATGATAAAGAAAGATGAAGGTTTTTGGCAAATTTATAGTATAGGTAAAACTTTATATAGTCTGATAGAGAAAAAAACATTCAGAATGGCATGCATAAGTTTAATAAAGTATAGAGTATTTTTTACACAACAGTTAATCGATCAAAAGAGCAAGAAAATAATCATATAGAAAAAGTTTAAAGCTTTAAGAATGAGTACGCAAAGAGAATGAAAAGTAAAGTAGTTTGCAGAAATTAAACAGAAAATAATAAGCAATCAAAATGACAGAACAGTTCAAGCAAAATTTCAAATACAAGGCATGAACACTATGGCAATAAAATCGATATGCAAGAAGTTATTACAAGATAAAAGAAGACATGAGTAGATACTAGTAAACAAGAAGAATATAAATTTGATGATAAACAGAGTAGTTAAAAAAAGAAGAAAAGAGGTACTCATAAATTACTAGAGTACATCATAGATTGAGGATAAGAATCATTTAGTGCTTGTAGAATGTGTAAAGTGCAATTTAGATAATGGAAATAATGCAAGTAGTTGTCAACATTAGGTTAAGAAAAAAGAAATAGCAGATGTGCTACCAGGAATTAGACAAAAGAACAAACAGAAGATTTCAGTTTTGTTAAAAGAGTTAGATAAATATAAGGAGAGTAATACAAAAAGAGAAAGCAATATTGAAGAAAGAGCTGTAAATAAAGAAATAAGCATGCATACCTATGAGATCAGTCTGTTAAAGATGCAAGGTTTTGATAGTAGCCTTGAAATCTTGCTACTAGAGCAATTGAAGAGTAATATAAAAATAAACCACACAAGTTTTAGCTTTTATACAAATGAGTCATTAGTAAGAGAGAAAAAGAATTGTAGAATGAGTGCAAGCTAGATACAAGTTAGCGAAGATAAAGGTAGATTAATAATAGAAGAGAAAATTAGAATAGTGAATTGGCTATCATTAACAATAGCAGAGTTAGCTACAGTGTGGATGGTAATATTAATGGTAGCATGTAATAGTAAAGTAGTTATTAAATTAAATAATGCAACAGCAATCGTAAGTCTGGAAAAAGATGAGCTGCTATATAATGTGAGAGTATAAAGTAAAAGTAAAAACTTTAAATTAGTTACAAAGATTAAAGATATGTGCAAGTTAAAGAATATTAGGCTATTATTAGTTAAAGTTAAAGCACATAGTGAAATAGTATAAAATGAAAAAGCTAATAAGTTTGCAAAAAAGAATACATGGCTTGACAAGATCACTGACTTGAAACTTGAGAAGAATTTGAGATTTCTATATACATTATTTTGAAAAGAAACAGTAATAGAAATACCAACAAGAAAGTTCATTAAGACATTACCAAATATGATGAATAGTGCAGAGTAGCATTGCTCGAATGCAATAAAAGAGCTAGAACCAGATGCAAAAGCACAACATGATTGAAGATAGCTATGGAAGGAAAACAAAACTTTAACAAAAAACAAATGTAAATCTTTAAAGGAAAGCAAGAAAATCGCATTTAGAATTAAGTGTATCTTCAATAGTTTGCCAGCTTGAGGTATTAAAGAAGAGAGTACCAAACTTGTATGATTCAGACATATGCAAAGAATGCAAGACAGAAAAAAAATTATTGAGGCACTTATTTAGTTGTAAGGAATACAAAAGTTATTAAAACAATATTGAAGAGTTAGCATGTTGGTTAGTACAGAAAAAGTTGGACAAGTTAGACAAGAGCAAGCTTATGAAAATTAACCTGAAAAGAATATTAGTTGGTGAAATGAAAATAGATAAAATTAAATATAGAAAGTCATGCATATGTGATTTAGCAGTTAAGAGTATGTTTAAGAAGTTGTATGCTAAGCAAGTTTCATATAAAGGTGTGAAGCAGAATATTAGATTATATATTAAGATTGTAGAAAAGATATTTAGAGATAAAATTTGGTGGCAAAAGTGTAGAACAGTAGTCAACTGAAAGGAAAAAAATAGAATAACAATGAAATTAAAATGAAGAAGAGGCAAGACAATGGTAAATAAAGAACAAAGTACAAAAAAAGTTAAAAGTAAAGAAGTATCAGAGAATAAGATCAGATTAGGGAAAAACAAAAAAAGAGAGACTGAGTACAGATAGTTGTTTATGAAAGGTGTTGATAAAATAATACAGAATGGAAGTAGTCTATTCTGGTTCAGTTCTTGACAGAGTTGACAAAGTTTTCCAATCTAGGAATAGGTTGGTGCAACAAGTCGTATTTAAGTGCAGTTTCTGTATTTAAATGATGCTAAACTTGCAACTGCAAAGGTAAATTACTAGAAATAGATAATGTTTTAATTAGTAAAATTTTGTATTAAAGTTTTGACAAAACTGTTAAAGAATAAAAAAAAAAAAAAAAATATTCTTTTATATATAGAATAAAAATTTTTTAAATTTAAAAAAATTATTATTAAAAAAACTCTTTTTTTTTTGATATTAAGATGACCTCTTTGGTTTTTTGACTTTTATTAATTACTTATCGGTATTGTGGTTCAATATACTACTACAGGAGAGAGTACAATTGGCTATACATATAACTTTTCTATATTACCTATTTAAGGAGTCTGCCTGAAGGTTCCCTACCAATTGCTGTATCTAATATTTCTGCTTGGGTGTTCTACTTTAAACCCTCTGAATCTGTAATCTGTATTAACTTACTGGATTATACTCAGATGTTTAGAACATTGTCTCAACCTTAGGACTAATTTATCCTCAAGGTAAACTCTCTAGAGCCTTCTGTATTCATTTTTACAGCTAACCTAGGTATCATTATGGCAAAACCAACACTTGTGGTTAGGGCTAACCATTAAACCACTATGCCTTTGTAGAGTTCACTTAGACTCCAGCATCTACTTTACAGCATAACTCCAGTATTTTAGTATATCTCTGCTTTTTCACCTGCCTTTTTACCAAACTTCTAATCCAAATAGTTCATATAGGACTACAACCAGTCTATCAGTATATTAGATCAGCTTAATATTCTTTTTTTCTAGTTCATTCTAGCAGCCCGGTTGGTGATATTCCTGAGACTCCCAACCTGGAGGTTCTTGCCCGTCTGGCTACTATGACCAAGTACTATGACCTTGGTATCTGTTTCTCTAGGCTAGCCTTTACAATAGAGCTATTGAAGATCCAGCTACCTCTCTACTCAGATCTTTCAAATAGACTTCTTGTTACCTAATTTCAATAGATTTACATGGCCACAAGGACTTATCTAGTGTTTGCACTGCCTGATTTGTCAGTTTGCATTCCTCTGTGTAATGTCATACTTACACAGATGTCTTATAACCTGCCAGTCATGCTAATGTGACTGTCATTACAGGTATTCTAACCCAATTATTAGTAACAGTTGCCATAATATGAATATTACATAGGTGATTATCCAAAATTTTACTATCAATAGGATTTGAATACCCAACCACCACTTGGGGGGTTGACAACCTGATTACTTTACTAGGTTATCACATCCTCAAAAAAAACTCTTTTTGCTAATTCTTATAACTAAAATTAAAACAAAAAAAAAATCAGAAAAATTACAAAAGCCAGCAAGTAAAAGCATAGTTGTCAACTAAGCAAAGTTGCAGCTAGTAAGAATTTAGATATAGTTTGTTAAAATAGTAGACTAAGTTAACAGTAATATAGTAGTCACTTTTGACTTTTAAAGGAAATTTTACTCTTTGTTAAAAATTTTTAATGAAAAAAAGAAAAACACAAAAACTTTGTATTGCAAATTATATATATGACATGTAAAGCAAGCTAGAGTAAACAGTAAACATAACAAAACAAACTAACAAATATGCAATCTTGCAGATAAACAAATAAACACAGGCATAAATAGTAAAACATGTGTTGAATATATATAGTAAAGATATAAAAATAATGCAAAAAAGTGTAACACAAAAAGTTTAACTAGTATCTACAGAAATCAACTACCGTACAGCGCACCTTATAGTATCCTCTTAAAAAAGTACCACCAACTAATAGTATCTGGGTACTATATTAGATATGTAGTCTAAAAAACTGATAAGTATCTGGATACTATATTAGACATATACCCGGTTATAAATAAGCAAATTAAAATACTGATATTTATAAATATATATATTTATATACTGTCAACTATCTATATAACGGAAATCTGGGCTGAAAAAAAATCTCTGTTAGGCCATGCAAAGTAAATTTTTCATTTAACATTACATGAAATCTGAAAATTGGGTCAGTTGGTCGAATTTTTTTTTTTTTTTTTTTTATAATTTTTTTTTTTTTAATTTGATCGTTACCAAAGGAAACTCAGACCTTGGGCTTACGATTTTATTTGTTGCTGACATGTTTTAGTTCAGTAAATTTATAAATTTAAAGGCTCGAAGTATAGTTTTCGCTTGGTGTTCTATCAGATAATTTCAGAAAATTAAGGTCACTGTCGGTAAAAACCGGATAAAAAAGATGAAAAAAATAAACAGCAAAAATGGAATAATTAGCACAATTGAAACTCAAAAAAAAAAAAAAAAAAAAATAGGGATTTTGAAAAATTTGGGTCGATGGGTAATGCTAAACGAAAAATCAACTTTGCATGACCTTATATGACTTATAAATTATTTATATATTAAAGATTTGGCTCTTTGCAATTTGTCTGTTAAACTGGTGAATCCAGTCTAAAGATGTTCATTATATCGATAGTTGACAGTACATATATTATTTATATATTAATATGTATAAAGCATTCGAAAATTAAGCAACCAATTTTGTACAAAATAGTTTAAAAATATAAACTTCTAAAGAAAATGATTAATATTTATTTCAAACTTTAAACCCACTCATTAATATAATTAATCTCCTCTATTTCATAATAATCATCTTTATATTCTCTAACACTAATTCTATTTTCTTCATTTTTTTCATTTCTAAAATAAGTTTCTATATTTTCATTAGTATCTATACTTTTATTACTCAAATAAACATAATTACCAACATTATTTGCATTTTTTTCTGTAACTTTATCATAATCAAATATAAGATGTTCTTCACTTCCATCTCGTACATTAGAGATTCCACAGTATTTAAATGAGTGACATATTAAAGAAGGATCTATGGCATTCCATGCATCTTTAATCTACTGAGCAACCAAATTATATGCAGGTCTCTGAATTTGGCCACTTGAAGTATATTTTTTAATTTCTTCTGCCATCCAATCATTATAATAATTGCGTAACTATAAATATAAAGATTTATTTAATAATATTATTAATTTAAAAATTTTTATAAAAAATAAAAAATATATGCCTTTGATTTAAATGATTTATTTATGGATACATCAAGAGGTTGTAGTTTAGAAGTAAGCCCACCAGGTATAATTGCTATATTGGTATTTTTTTCTTGAAATTGATTTTTAACAAAAGTTGTCAAATGACCTTGAAATGAATCAAGTACCAATAAAGAATGAGGATTGCTTGATAGAGATGCACGTTTTTCCAAATATTTTCAATCCAAAAAAGAGTCTTATCTGTATTAGAGTAACCTTCTTTATTTGCTCGAATGATAATATCTGGAGAGAAGACTTGACAAGGAACATTCATTAACTTAAAAATAACCATTGCTGGCAGTTTGGTTCCATCTGCCATACAACTCAAAATAACTGTAAAAGTAGATTTTTCATACCCACAAGTATGTATGCTAACTGTTTTTGCACCTGTTTCTTCTATAGTAGTTTGACTAGGAAGATCAAATGAAATAGGAGTTTCGTCCATGTTGCCGATAAATTTAAGTGGGTAATCATATTGTATACGATGGTAAAGTACAAATCCCAAAAATGAATGTTGTAATTCATGTAAATCTTCTGGTAGTTTTTGGGCAACTGTTGTATGTCGACAATGACTAAATTTATAACATACCATAAAGCCATCAATCCATTTACTACTGAATTTACATTCCTTAATATCAGGATACATATTACAAAATCATTCTGTTTTTGCAAGTGCCTTAGCTTTCATTTGAATCATTGATCGTGTTACTACTTTTAAATTTTTACGCAAATTTTTAACCCATTCATTTAGCTCTCCTTCAAGTTCTGGGTATTTTGGACGTGTACTATTATTTAACCATAAGATATGAGGTGCAGCCTCCATTAATTGTTGCTTAAGTCCACGCCACTTTCTGACTTGAACTGGTTCAATATTAAACATGATAGCTGTTGCACGTATACTTCTTTGTGGATGGTTTTCAAGAAAAGCCAAAATGGCTAATTTTTCTCATACATTCCAACTACGTCGTTTTTTTTGAGTAATATTTGAATTATGACGTTTTCGGGTTGCTCTTGGTGGCATTTGGTATCTAAAAAAAAAAACCCTGTTAATATTTAATTACAAATATTCGAATATTATAAACTTTAAATATATCGAACCTGATAAGTATTAATAAAATTTTTTTTGTTACTAAAAAAAAAAATTTGACTATCCAGTGCTTCAGAACTTCAGGTGAAGGTCTTTGACTAAGCTGAGAAGATACGTTTACAACTTTAAAGGTTATAATAGTTAGAATTTGAGTTCAAACTGAGTAATGTCAAAAGAAACTCTAAAATTTATTCGATATCTTTTATAACACTTTTAGATATATACAAGTATTAAGATACCCAAGAACAAATTACAATGAACACGATGATGGTCTATATAATGCTTTGTGACAAACTCTTAACATTTCAATAATCGATCATTTTATATTGTTTCTATTATAGTACCCTCCGTGAATTGTACCCCCCATTCAAAGTACCCCTGAATACTATACCCTCTACCATGCATAATACCTAGGGGGGTACTATTTACGATTTATGTGAGTTTACCTGTATATACCCGGGATACTATAAGATGCGCTGTACAGTAGTGCAAGAAATTAGAAAAGTATCATGACATATTTAATAAATTTGACAGAGTACAAAAAGAATTATTAAATAGTCATAAATCAAGAGTTTTAAGAAAAGATGAGAAATTGTCCAGACTAGTTGGTACTGAGGCAGTCTTAGTTTGTGTATTTAGAAACTTAATTGAAATATATAATTACTGTGAATATATATAAGTAAGAGATAATGAGAAACCAAAGAAGAATAGTATAAAGCAATTAAATAAAAACAAAATAAATAAAAAAATATTACTAGAGCAAGAATATGATACATGAATTATAATATACTAGAAAAGCAAACAGAGAAGAGTTTAGTAAAAAAAATTAAAGAAGAAAAAGAAAGTAAAACAGAAGAAAATGATCAGTAGAAGAATATAGTTAGTAATATAAAGACAAATGAGAAGTATAAGACAGACAAAGAAGAAGTAGAACACAAAGAAAAAAGAAAACCTAAAATAACTATGAATATTGAACAAATGCAGAAAGAACAAATAAAAGAACAAAGATATACAGATAAGACAATAAGAATGCATAAAGATAGTAAGTTAGAAGACAAAGTCTATATAATGTGGAACATTCTAGTAGAAGTGAGACCAGCATGTGTAAGAAAGTGTTTTCAGTTTTATAGTAGAATTAGATTTATTCAAAAGAAAAGTTGTGATAATAGAAAGCAACAATATTTGCTGTTGAGTTTAGAAATGAGAACAGAAAATCGATACTTGATCAGGCATAATTAGTGCATTTTGAGGAAGGCAAAACTTGTAAAGTTACTTCAAGTATTTTTGCAAAAGAGATATTAGAAAATAGAGTATTATATAAGACAATAAATTAAAAATATTATAACAACAGCAATAGAGATGTTATTATTAAGACAACTAAAAGCAATAAAGGTAAAGATAGTTTATATTTTAGTAAATAAAAACAAAAACTAATAAAAAACTGCATTAGTATATTTTGAGACAAAAGAAGACTTAATAATGGCTACTAATAAGAAGCTATACTATTACAACACAAGATTAGAGTAGTATAATAAAAAAGCATTCAAGAATAGTGAAATTAAGAGAGAAGAAAATAAAGATATAAAAGAATATTTTGTGAATAGAAGTTCACAGTATGGAAGACACTTAAAGAGTCAAGAAAATATTAAGAAGAAAGAGAGTAATAAAGAAAACTAGCAGAAAAAATATAAAGAAGTTAACAGAAAATATAATGATAATATGCAAACAAAAACAGTTTATATAAAAAAGTTGAAAAGTAAGCTACAAGATGTTCTTAGCAGAATATTAAGAAGACTGAATAATATTGAAGAAAAACAATTAGAAAACTTGCTTCCAAATCATTCCTAAAAGTTTCTATAAGGGTTTTTCAAGAAAAAGTGATCACTTTGTCAAATATAAAGTTAGAAAGCATTAGTGAGAAATTTGCACATAGTGTAAGCAAATATAGCAAAAGTAAAAAGGGCATAACAAGTGTTAAGATGTATGTCACAACATAAATAAAATAAAGTGTAACAAGATAAAACTAAGAACAATAGTTGAGTGAGCAAAAAAAAAAGAAGTTGATATTTTGGAATTAGTAGAAACAAATAGCAATAGTAAAGAACTAAAATACAGTTTAGAGAACAATTATTATAAATGTGTTTGGTCACAAAGTGAAAGTACAAAGAAGAAATAATTAGGTGTTAGGTTATTAGTAAGCCAAAAATAGAAGAAACATATAAGAAAAATCTGTAGATTTGAGGAATATTTAATTAAAGCAAAGTTCTATATTAAGCATATAGAAATAATAATAGTAGTGATACATATTCTTTCAAGTAACAAGAAAAAACAAGAAAATTACAATAAAGAATAGTAAATATGTATGTGAAGAAAGCAAGTAACTCATAGTTCATAATTATAAATAATTTTAATTATGTAGTAGACAGCAAACTAGATAAGATAAGTAATAGTGAAAATAATTGTATCAGATCACTTTTACTACATAAATGGCTAATAAAACAGAAATTTAGTAATATATATAGAATTTGCAATTTAGAATTAACAGGTTATACTTGGAAAGAACAAAATACACAAACAAGAATTGACCAAATATGAATTTACAACTAGGATTAGAACAAGCAAAAATAATTAATACAGAATTTATAACATCAAGTGACCATAATATTGTTAGTACAATGTTAATGTTCAAATATTTAATCCAAACACACAGTGTAACAGAAATGAAAAAAAAAGAATTAATAAAAACAATTTATTTGTATAATAAGATAATAAAAGAAAATTGGAAAAGTTATCAAATAGATCTTGAGAATTATTTATCTAAGAATAAAAGACTTAAAGTATATGAAGAAGTTGGGTATAGCACTAATATAGACAAAGATTGGAATATAATATCCTGTGCAATAAAAGATGCAATGAATAAAAACATATTAAAAAAGAAGATAATTCAAAGAAATAGTTATATTGAAAGAAAAAAAAAAATAACAATATTATATAAAGGAATAGTAGCACTAAGTAAGCTACTACAGAAGGCTAAGAAGTTGGTTAAAGAAGAAAAAATAAAACTAAACTTGAAGAAAATCAATATAAAGGTAAATAAGATAAATATAGAATATAGTCTAAAAATAGGCAATATAAAAAAAAACAGAATAGCAGACCTTGAAAAATAGTGTTAGTTAATAAAAAAGCAGTGGCAGATATTAAAAATAGCAGAAAGGGTTGAAGAAAACAAGCATACAAGAAATAAAATCAATATTGCAATAGATAGAAGATGTAAAAAAATTGATAAAAAAATAGAAAAATGCTTACTAGTATTCTAAACAAACTATACAACAAAATCAGAATTAATTGAGTATTAAAACAAAAAGAAGATAAACACTTATTAATTAGTAAACTAAATGCAGTATTAGAGCAGATAAAAGAACATTTTAGTAAGCAGTTAAAACAAAAAGACATCATTGAAGATAAAGAAATAATAGAAGAGTTTTACAAGCCACTTGCAGAAATCAGAAAAGAGTAATATAAAGAGTTAAAGGCAAAAATAACAATCAAAGAATAGATAGAATCAATAGAAGAAACTAAAAATAAAACAGCATCAGACATGTCAAATATTGAATACAGACTAATCAAGAGTACAAGTGATAAACCACAAGAAGTTTTTAGAAAAGTTGCAAATACATGTTTAAGGCTAAAAAAGATACTATATAAGTAAAAGTTAGTGCAAATATATCCAATCCCAAAGAGTAAGGATTAGGGTTACAAGCTTTATAATATTAGACCAATTGCACTATTAGAAATATTTAGAAAATGCATAACCAAGGTGGTAGCAAAAAGAATGTCTAGTATAATAAAAGATAAAGAGATATTCAAGAGTCTAAACTTTGCTAGTCTATCTAAAACTTAACAGAAGAAGCAATTCATATTGTAGAAATAATAAGAGAAGATATAAAAGAAAGTAATAAAAAGTTGTGGTTACTGATGCAAAACATAAAGAAAACATACAATTCAGTATTAATAAAGTCATTTCAGTTAGCATTACAAAGAATTAAGCTGCTAGTTAAAATAGTAAGTTTTATCATAAAGTTATATAACAGAAAAGAAGTTAGCATTATAACAGATTTCAGATTAACAAAGACATTTGTTGCTAGAGATAGGATTGAGCAAGAAGAGATGATTTCACTATTAGTCTAAAAGATATTTTATAACCTATTATTAAGAAGAATTTAAAATGATTAGCAGTTAAGATATGAAATTGAAGTATATAAAATATTGAACTTGCAAATAAATAGAGTTAAAGTTAAAAAGGCAAGGCAAGCTACAATAGCATATACTAATAATACAACTTGGATGGCAAAGAGTAAAAAAGAGATGCAAGAAATTATCCAAATTTCACAAAGGTCTTTAGATTTAATGACATTCAAATTAATGATTCTAAGTTAAAGTTGTTAGTAGTTAACTCAAATACAGAAGAAAGAAGAAGCCTGTTTTGATAAACAATTTTTAACTATAGTTTGAAGAGAAGCATATATTAATAAGAATGCTAGAGATGTAGTTAAGTATAAAAGCAAATGAAAGTTTAGTTATTAAAAAAGCAAAAAGGATTATACAACAGTTTATGTGAAGCTTATGATTTAAGAAGTTAACTATTAGTCTGTTAATATATATTAATAATATATATATAATACCAAAATTAATATACATGTTGCAAACTACAAAGGCATCTAAAGAGCAGCTAATTTGCTTATATTAACTAATAAATAGATTGATCAAAAACAAAGTAGGGCTATCAATGATTACAGAAAATAGTGCAATTTTGTATTAAGATTTAGGAATATGTAGAATGTTAAGTCAAGAAATATTTAATAACTAGTTGGTATTAGTACAAAGAAGGCTAAATGAGCTAGATCAGATTGATAAAATGACAAGAATACAAGTAA